ATTACATAACACCCTGTATATATATATATATATATAAAGATTAGGGTGTCCCTTATTTAGGGGTGAAAAAAAATTTAACAGAGGCGCCCCCCAAATTGGTTCCAAATCATAAAAAAAAATCCTGCAAAATTTTAGATCAATCGGTCAAAGGGAACACGTGCCCCACAGGGGTTTTTTGAGAAATAATTAAAAAATTTGGAAGGCTGAAACGGTCTATCGCAGGAAAAAAAAATTTTGTGGGTTTATTTATGATAAACAACTTTCTTACCTACAGTTCTGCGTTAAAAAAAATGTTGGGCTCAAAAAGCGATAAAATGCTTTTTTGGCCACCTACTTTTTGAATTTTCTGTCCTAGAGCATTGACCCAATGACATAAATTGTAGGGGACAATGAGCCCTAAAGCAGAACATTCCATCTCCATTGCTATCAGCACGCGCCTTTTTTCTATGTGGCGCGAGTTCTGGGACACCCTGTATATATATTTATAAAGGGGCGTGCTGATGGCAATGTAGATGCCAATTTTTAAAATAAAAAATTTCTAGGTAATAGTGTAATAAATGAGAGTAAAAAAGCGGCAGCCAATACCTAGAGCTCTCGCCTAGGTTAAACGTAAGAGCTATAAAAATTGCTAGGAGACGATAGCACATTGTTGTCTCAAAACTTTTCAAAATCTTTTGTCCGACTGTGCATAGACAAGGTATAGGTTGGGTGGGCGGGGGGTTAGTTAGATAGGCAACTTAGTATTAAAGTTTTGTTTCGTGACTACTGCGCCATCTAGCGGGTGTAGTCAAAAATATATATTAAAATTATTGTTTAAATTTTTTTACTGGATGGTACTGATCCTTTTTTTACCTCCACTAGATAAATAATTCTAATATTTTTCTAGGAACGTTCAAAGAGGAATAATAAAACATAATAAAACTACATTTTTGTAATTATTTTATTTGTCAAAGTTACAAAATATATAAAGGCAAAAATTCAAAACACAACTTAAAATCAGTCTACATCATATGAACTTATCTAACTATTTCATTCCTATTCCTATTCCTATTCCTATAATATTATTCTATAAGGTAAAATAAATTTATAAATAAAAACAATAAAAATTTTAATACTTGGGCAAAAAGCTGGACATACCTTATCGTTTTTTGGAAATCGATGCATTTTTACACTATCTCCCCTGCTTTTGCACTTTTGTACACAACAAGAATAAACCATAATAATGAATACACAATACAAACTTAAAAGGTTATAAATACTTCACAATTTTTTTTCTTTCAAAACGAATTATGACAACTGTCATTATGACAACGGTAGTCTCTGTGACAAAAACAATTTTGGCGACATTAGCGCCTCTGGCAAGCGTAGTCTAAACTTCTCAGCGGACAAGTTTTTGTACAGTAAAGATGCACAACCATGCGACTGTGTTTAGTAACCTTTCAAAAAGGAATGTCATACTTCAGGACGCCAAGTAAAAATTAAATAACTAGCTCTGTACCCCAAAGCCAAAATATCTAGCAACCACTACAGAATTTCACTCTAGCGGGATTATCTTCCAGAACAACTTTTTCAGTCCAGGGCACGATCGGGAAAGCGCTGGGAAAAAACTCGTGCTGCCTCCCTAGAATTGGGCCCATACTTCCCATAAATAATCATCATTTCGGCATAATCAGAGGAGAAAAACATAATTTAAAATGATAAATAATGACAGGAACAAAAACTAACAGCAGTGTCACTATGAAGTGGATTCCAGTCGACCGAATATTTTACATATTATAATATAACAATGCATCCTAAGTATCCTAGCAATTTAAAGAATTCCCTTTGGCCATGTATTGGGATTGGCTATCGTTTTTTATTCTTATCTCGCTTATCCTTAGCGTAAGATAATTTTAATTTTCAAGTTTTGTTTCGCATAACTTTTGGCACGTTCCCTTTTCATCTGTGGCGCAAGTATATATGTATACAAATATCGAATATAGATTGAAAAAAGTAACATTGAATCTAGGTTTTTATAATTAAATGAGTAACACTTTTCATTTAAAAAAACAGTTTATTATATCTCTTATAATAAAATTTGAAGAATCATGGTCAAAAATTTAAAGACATTTTAAAAGCTTTAGCAAATGTGTTGCCAAGGAAAGGGCGAGAGCGAGGGCGTTAACAATAACTTGAAGCACAGATGAACTGTTTTTGCTGTTCAGACGAGTCTAAGAAAAAGTGGATAGCTAAAAGGTAAAGTTATTGTAGGTAAAGTGACTAAAAAAAGTTTCTCAAAACGTGTGACCAAATTTAAAAAGTTATTGGGGACAACAGAAACCAGTGTCTTACACCAGATCAAGCACTGTCGTTAATAACAGGAGGTGAAAATATCACAGCTAAACGCTCGGACACGTCGTAGATTACAAATCCATGCTTGGTTTAGATGTATCAGGTCAAAATTCAAAGATATTGAAAACACCCTGTATAAATTTAAACACCCTGTATAAATTTAAAAAAAATCAATTTGGTTGGACATCAGTTCCAAATTAATTGATCAAAAGGAACACGTGTTCCTGAGGGTTTTTTATACATAATTTAGGAAATTCAAAATGTTTTTTTGATAATTTTTTTTTATCGAGTAGAATTGAGGATATTATTTTAATTGAAATAAAAAGCATAAGAATGTTGGCACAAGAGGTGAAATATATTATTTAACAAATTATAATATACCAGTATACAGTGTCCCCGGATCGGATTTCCGACAGGAAAAACTTTGTTAGACGTAAACATAATTTTTGGTCGTTGATTCCAAATCTGTGCTCGGTTTAGTTGTATCAGGCCTGATACAACTAAACCGAGCACAGATTTGGAATCAACGACCAAAAATTATGTTTACGTCTCCGAGCGTTGAAAATTTACCTACAGTGTAATCAACACAAAATCTAACAAGGCCACGTATTTAGCATACAGAATGGCAGCTTGAAGCTGTAACTATTTACTTTTTATCCTCAAATCTGATCTGATCACACTTATCGCTATAGAATAACATATTAAAAAACAAAATAAAACTTGTTTCTAAAGCTTTAAATAGGCTAAAACCCCCTGCAGAATCCTCTAGTCTATAGACACAGTTTCGCCTAATTTGGATATTTATTTTTTCAAAAATGTGTTGGTCTTTTTTTGTTTTTTGTCCATTTTTTTCATTTATAATAAAATACTTTCTAAGATATAACTTTATCGTTTTAATATTGTCCTGCAGCAATTATTGAATTGTAATACAGGTTAATGGCGCTTATAATTATAATTAATTCGCGCTAAAATTGCTTTCTAGACCACAGTGCGCCACTGCAAATATGTTAAATAGTGTAAGTTGGTTTTAATGCAAGAAGTAAATTTGCTGTTGATTAATGAAATAAATTTAAATGTATTTTTAATTAAAATTTTAATTTGGAAATTGTCAGTTTTTTTAATGAACTAAAACAACATATTTAAGTTATAAAATTAATTAAAGTTTTTAAAACATTTCGACGCGCTATGATTTAAACAGGAATTTAAAACTAATCGTCGTAGACATTTTTTAAATTGTAAAAAGTTTTAATTAAAATTAATTTTAAAATAAATTTTATTTGCATATTTTTTTATGCGATTTTATTATTTTCCTCATAAATGCACAATTGTGTGGATTGTGCATAAATGTACCTTTGATAATTTAAAATATTTTAATAAAATAAATTGCATCAACACGATAATTAATAATAATTAAACATGTATTAAAAATTTTAATTTAAAATACATCTTTATATAAATTAAAATACTAATATTTAATAATAATTAAAATATAACATTGTATAAAATTAAATGTCATAATAAATCATAAAGTTTATAAACTGTATAATTTATTATGACATTTAATTTTATACAATGTTATATTTTTTAATATAAATAGTACATTATAGTCCAGGCGGAGAAAGCACAAATTATCCCTAAGCATACATTTCACTGCCGAGGCGATAGCCTTTGTGTGCAAGGCAATTAATATACTATTATATTATAAACTATTTTTTTAAGCATTTAGTTAAAGAATTTAAAGATTCTGTCATATCATTTTCAGGTTAAATTCAACCGACATGACATTTTACTTTTATTTATGTACAAAGTTTAATATTATTTTGACTTTTGAACTAGTATTAATTTGAAGACTTTCAATACCGGGGGAGTTTTTTAAAGTGTTACAAGGGGATATTTCAAAAATGGTTTTAAAATTTTTTTGTTACATTTTGGTAAACTAATAGAGTGGAGGGGGAAATATTTAAACATACCTTTGAGACCTACCCCCCTTTTCCTATTTGGAAGTGCGGGGGATGATGTTATTTTTTTATAAATTACAATCTAAGAAAATATTGATTTGCGCTTTCGGTTACTGAATTATGATTTATTAGATTATAAGATACTAAAAAATATTATAATTATAACAATTAAATTTCAACCAAATTATCTTTTGTCATGTCTGAGGAATAAACTTCCAAAGCCTTTCTGACTCTTTTTATAAATAAATTTTATACACTTGATAAGTAAATTAAAATTATTTTTTGGTATTTTAAAATTTAATAAATCATAATTTCGTAAGCAAAAAACAATTTTTTTGCACACATACCTAGTTTTTTACATAGATTCGAATTTAAAAAAATCATCGCTATTAAAAATTCAAAGTTACCCCCGCCCCTCAAAATAGGGAAAGGGGGTAGATGTAAAAAATATCTTTAAATATGTCCCCCACCCCTCTATTAGTTTACCAAGATTTCACACAAGATTTTGACAGAATCTGGTAACCCTGCTTGTAACACATTAAAAAACTCACCAGGTATAAACTTATTAATTAATTAAAATTATTTAAAATATTTGAAAGCAGTATCTGGTTAAAAGCCAAACAGATAATTTAAGTCTTGACAAATTTTGTTAATAAAATATTGTTTCTTAAAAATGTTTATACTTTTATTTTATTGCATTTTGTTTTTTAGTGTTGTAGTTTCCGGAGAGCAAGCCAGGGCAAGACTAAGGAACCTTACTCCTTATGAAAAAGGCAGCAACTTGGATTTGTGCGGGTAAGTAATTATTCTTAATAAGATAAAATTACAAAAACAATAAAACTTTAATTAAAAAACATCTTTCCAATTTCGTTTTGACAAAATTATTTGAAAAAAGATATTTTCACTAAAACCACATTTAAACCTTAATAAGGAGATTATACGAGCCCTAACACAAAAATGTTTGGACACTAAATAAAATTTGCGTCTCATCTTACCTGTTAATAAAATATATTTACTCAACACATTAATAATAAAAAAACATTATTAAAACATTTTTTTTATAATTCGAGGAAAAAAACTAGATTGTCATAAATTTACAGAACATTATTTATAATATTGTAGTATTTTGTTGACACATAAATATTCGTACAAATTATTTTAATAGAGCGTTGCGTCAGCTTTAGACTTAATAACGGCCTTTATTCGTGTAGGCATCGTTTTAGTTGGAGCTTCGCATTGCTCTGGAGTAAAAGAATCCCATATGCTCTGCAACTTTTGCCGCAAATCAGCAACATTTCGTTGTGGATCATTTTTCAATTGTTGCTTTATTTTATGCCACACTGTCTCAATGATATTAAGATCAGGACTGCTTGAAGGCCAATCGAGAAGGGTAATATTATGATGTTCCATTCACCAACCGAAGAAACATTAACCTTGAGGGGCTCACGCTCTTTGGATCAAGACTGATCCCATCCAAATCAGTCAAGTATCTAGGAGTCATCATTGACTCCAGGCTGACCTGGAAGGAACATGTCAACAGGGTCGTCCAGAGGGCCACTCATAGCCTATGGGCATGCAGAAGGACCATTGGACGCACCTGGGGCAACAGTCATAAGACCAATGATCACATACGGCAGCCTTGTTTGGTCGAATGCGTTAAGCAAGCCCACCTACAGGAAGAAGATGGATGGAGCTCCAACGATTTGCCTGCATGGGCATAATTGGAGCTTTCAGAACCACTCCAACATTGGCAATGAAGGCCATACTGGAACTGGCGCCTCTACATATCTTTGTGGAGGCACGGGCCCGGGAGGCCTCAGTCAGACTCAACGATTGGGGACAGTGGACTCACGGGGGGGGGGAAAACTCAGGGCATGCAAGGGCCTGGACTGAGACTATCAACCGGGACCCCCTTCTCACAAGAAGGGATGCAATGACAAAGACGTCTACCCCCCTCAGGAGATATAAAGTGGTTTTCCCCTCCAGAAACGACTGGAGCGAGCCTGACCCAGGCTTTCTCAAACCGGAAGGGCTCATCTGGTATACAGACGGGTCTTTAATGAAAGAAGGTGCAGGAGCTGGTGTATATGGAGAGCGACCTGGGGCGAGAATAAGCCTTGCACTAGGTCGATACCCAACGGTATACCAGACTGAAATCTTTGCCATCCAGATATGCGCCCAAGAGAATCTCCAGAGAGGATACTCGGGTAAACATATCTACATATGCAGCGACAGTCAAGTAGCACTCCGGGCTCTTCACTCGGAAAGGGTCAACTCGAGACTTACACTGGACTGCATAAAAACCCTCGAACTACTCAGTGTGCTCAACAAGGTTAACCTTATCTGGGTACCGGGTCATCGAGGCATCAGAGGCAACGAGGAAGCAGACCAGCTGGCTCGTGAGGGCAGCAACACGGCCTTCTTGGGGCCAGAACCTGTCATAGGGGTCGCCTCCTGTCTGGTAAAAACCAAGATCAGGAACTGGACTAACGACCAGTTTCAGAAAAAATGGCGTGAACAACAAGGCCTCAGGCAGTCAAGGGCCTTTATAAAGAGTCCTACTACCTGCAAAGAGGCAAAAAGATTCCTGAAACTTAACAGGAACCAGTTAAGAACCATCACAGGAGTCCTAACAGGACACTGGGTAGTCAAATACCACCTACACAAAACCGGACAGCAACGAGTCGGACTGTAGGTACTACAGCGAAGTAGATGAAACTACCGAGCATATAGTCTGCGAATGCGACGCTCTAGTCAATAGTAGACTAAGACACCTAGGGGACAGATACTTGGAACCAGAGGAAATAATGCATGCCCGACCAGAGCGGGTCTGCGCTTTTCTTAAAAGCTGCGGGCTCGTAAGGTAAGGCAGAGCTTCACCAAAAAGGGGGTTTGCACAATGGGCCGTATGGGTGCCTAAGTGCTGCCTGCAAAGGCTCCCCTTCAAATTAATCAATGATCTTCCAACCATTTTTTAGTAGTTTTGACCGTATGACAAGATGCTCCGTCTTGTTGAAATATAAAATTTCCTGTCGGCGATAAAATCGAAAGCGAAGGCAACAAGTCATCGTTAAGAATTGCTTGGTACTTTTGTGCATTTGCGGTTCCATCGATAAAATGCAATCTTCCTAAACCATAAGCTGACATATTGCCCCAAACCATTACACCAGCAGGAAACTTAATTGTCCGTTTTAAGCAGTCTTTATGGAATGCTTCAGTTTTTGTTCTAATGACCCTCTTGCGGCAATCACCGACAGACACATCAAATCTCGATTCATCACTGAATATTATTTTTTTACATTAGTCAAATGTCCAAATTTCTCTTTCCTTTGCCCAACTCAAACGATTTTTCTTTTGTTTTTCCGTGAGCAACGGCTTTTCTTTAACCTAAAATTTTGCGAATTTAAAGCATTTTTCTTAACTCTTTGTAGCTTAACATCCCTTATAAAAATGTAAGTTAGATTTTTGTATCCATCTCCGACATGTTTTGCGGGATACATTAACATTTGTTTCTTCGTTCCATTTGGCTGTTATGTCCCGAATTCTTGGACTTATTTTACGTGGACGACCAGTGCTCTTCCGACTACGTCAACAGATACGGTCTCTCCAAACCTTTTTATAATGTCGGCAACCGTAGTCTTAGGTAAATTTATTTATTTTGCAATGTCGCGGAAAGATTTTCCGCCATGGAATAATTTTACAATTAATTCTCTTACAGTTTTATGTGTTGCGAGCCCACGCGCCATTTCACTAACTTTAGAACTATCAAATTAAATAATTAGGACCTACTTGATTATGTGTAAAAAAATCTTTAAAATAATACGCCTTAAATGGCCATATGCAGTTTTTAAAACCTGAATAACATAAATGTCCGATCATTTGTGTGTTAACAAAATGATACGATATTACAATTTATATTCTATAATTTTGGTTTCGGTATGGTTTATAATACACCAACGAATAAAAAACTCCCACCTTTAAAACGCCCTTTATAGTACATGTTTCCATGACACTAAGTGACCTTTTAAATACACATTGACAAGTTGTGGCTTTATGGCGCTTTAGTCACGGGCTGAAGTTAGTTTTAAGTTAGTTGACAGTTGTTAAATGTCATACAATCGTTAAAATAAATTGCCTTTCTTGTAAAATAATATTAAATGTAAAAATTATTTTATTATCTCAATACAAAAATACAAAAGTATTAAATAGTTTCTCATCGCCAATATTTAAAAAGTTTATATGAACATTGTACTGACCTTTTAATTTCGCCGGCAGTAAACTATAACTTAAATTCAGGCACGGACTCCACTGTAAAGTGCTCATAAAACATTTTCTTTACTTTCACTGTGAAAAACTGTCAATTTTCAAGAAATACATTTCGATTTATAACCTTTATAATCTGTGTTTATAAAATAACTAAATTTGACATTTGACGGTGACACACAGATTCTTCTATTGTTTCATAGATGACTATTAAAAATACTATATCTTTATATCTACGTTTAAATAAAATTATTAAGTTTACTGTTAAATTAAATATTTCAGAAATACTAAGAAAATGATAACTGTCCGAACATTTTTGTGTTAGGGCTCGTACAATTGTTAAATATATACGTTTATGTAAACTTTTTTTCACGTTTTTGGGTTTAATTTATCTGGTGCTGCAGCGCGGCATAAAAATTGTTATTTATATAAGCTTGTGTAAACTCCAACTCTTTTTTTAATAAATTTAATCCTCTCAAGCCTTCATGCCATATCATAATTTAAGCCAAGCCGCAGTAAATTGGATAAAATATAAATGGATGAAAATGCGAAAAAACAAAAAAAATCTGACTACTAAAATTAAACTCCATATAACAGTTAAATCCTTAAACCCTGAATTTAAACATTTAAATACTGTTGTCAATGAATGTAAATTGAAATTAAAATACATGGAAATATTAAATGTCTTTTATTTAAAAGTTGTAATATGAGTTAAGCTACGTCAAGTAGGACCAGAAAGTTTGACGAAATCACCGATTTTTAAAATAATCACATTATTGTGTAGTAGGCATGACGCATATGTCACAGTAAAAAATATGTTTTGAATTTTTTTTTAATGTTATTAAAGGTAATAATTTTGTAAAACTTTAGAGCACGGTAAAATTGAAAAAATAGAATCTCTGGGACAACTCTGTATAATTCAATTAAATTTTACACACTACTGTAGCATTGTTTAGACTATATAATGATCATTTAATTAAGGTAAATTTGTTTAAATAAAAGAATTTTGCATACATTTATTATACAAAATTGTACTTCATGCTGAAAAAAAAATTAATCTTGTGTCTTAATATGCGGAAAACGTTTCCGTTTAATAAGATATACTCAAAAATTTGTCATTCCGGAGATTCAGTAACGTTTTAACAAAAAAATTTAATATTTCCGGAATGACATATGAAGGACAAATTTTTGAGTACATTTTATTAAACGTGAAGGTTTGCCGCATATTATGACACAAGATTAATTTTTTTTCAACGTGAAGAACACAAACAAAATTTCAATTGTTTAAAATAAATGTATGCAAAATTATTTTATTTAAAAAAATTTACCTTAATTAAATGATCATTCAGTAGTCTAAACATTGCTACAATAGTGTGTAAAATTGAATTCAATTATACAGAATGGTCCCAGAGATTCTATTTTTTCAATTTTACAGTGCTCTAAAGTTTGACAAAATTGTTAACCTTAAAATATTACCAAAAAAAACGAATTTTAAACCAAATTTTTTACTGTGACATATGAGTCATCCCTAC